CCGGCAGGAGCCGAGCTCCCATCGATGCAGCATTGGTGGAGCACGGCCACTGCTGGACCACAGGGTCCCCATACAACACATCTCTGCCTCCGTCCCGCAGCGGGGACATCCCCAGCACGACCTCTCCATCCCTTGCAGAGACGTCCCCCCCGCGCCCTTACCTTTGACGGTGACGTGGACGCTCTGGCTGATGGAGAGCTGGGGCTGGATCAGCACGCTGCACAGATACTCCCCTTCGTCCATGCCTTTCTGGACGTCCATCAGCTTAAGGGTCCCGTTCTCAAAGACCACTTGGCGGTGGTTATCGGGCAGCAGCAAGGAGTCCTTGTACCACTTGATGGAGTAGTACGGGTACCCGATCACCCTGCAGTTGATGAAAGTGTCCCTACCCGCTACCGCCGTTATGTTCTTCATGGCGCGGATGCTCGGGGGTCCTACATATGGGGGAGGAAGGAAGAGGCAGGCTAGGTTAATTCCGAAGGGCGGCTCGGTTGCATGCAGATCTGCTGCTATTTCAGAGCGAGCTTCGCAGGCAAAAGGAGGTAACCAGAGCGGTTGGGTCCCGGCCTGGTTTTGGGCGAGGAGCAGGCACGGGCTCCTCCCTGAGCGTGCGTGGGGAAAGCCTCCAGCTACTGCAGCTCGCACGTGGCTATGGACAGGGCCGCGGGCACCGGGCACGGCCACGCCGCAGCAAATCCCACCCCACAGACACCACTGCTGCCCGCGGAGGGGCCGGGACGGGGGCTGCGAGCGCAGAACCTGACTGCCACCGGCAAGCGTTTATCACCTCCCCTAAAACACAGCTTTTTGGCCTCCCCCGGCAACCTGAGCAGCACCGGGAAGGCACCAGTTTCTGGCTGGCTCTCGTGCTGGCTTCAGGACTGGGAGAACGCTGCAGGTGAGTATTTCAACGAGAGGTTTCACGCATCAACAATTACATTATTTCTCCCAGCCACTGCGCAAAATAGCAAGCTAATCTAAAGATTAACCCTATCTCGACTCCTCGTCCTAAGGGCGCAGTGGGATTACAGCTCGGCAGACACTCAGGGTAAGCTGATGGATGGTGCTTCTCATACAGGGACAGGTTCAGGAGAAAAAGCAGAGAAAAAGAAATCAGCATCTGGCTCTGTAAGCATCCCCTGGGGCTGTCGGAGGGACCTGCTCCACGCCAGAGCAAAGAAAAGCCCGAATCTTATCTAGTGACAGCCCGTCAAGAGCCGAGATGGGAGACAAGGGAACGTCCTGACAGAAGACGCTGCTCTGGCTCCCCATGGCTGCGGGATGAACTCGCTCCAAATTCAGCAGTAAACGGCAACAAAATCCCGGCTCTCCCGGGACCCCAGCCAAAAAGCCACTGGGATCCATTTCCAGCCTGAGAGACAGACAAACACAGCCCTTCAACCCCTCTTGTCAGCAGAGAAATAACTGCTACCTTGTCCCTGTCTCGCTCCCACCTATGAGCCTGGGAGCTCTAATTAGTGATCATTAACAGGCAGGGATGTATATATATTTATATTATATACCGTACCCTGTGCCTGAAAGCGCTCCCCGTACCGTGCCGAGCTACTCGCTCCAGCCGCAATAACACGGTGATTAAGGCGGCCATGGCTTTTAGCAGACAAAGAAAACACAGACATGACAAATCAAGGCTCATTTTCCCCGATTTCACGTGCTGCCTCATCACCGTTTGTCACCGAGATCCCCGCGCCGGCGGGCGCCTTCGCTGCCAGGGAGCAGAGCGCAGGCGGCCCGGGATGCTCCGGTGCCCACCACCTCTCCACGCGCGGGGACCCTCGGGGAGGGGAGAGCGGACCCCGATGGGGAGAGCGCTGCCCTTTTGGCCCTGCAAAGTCAACCTGCGGCTCTTGGAGGCTACGGGACCGCTTGGCACCGCGTTAAACTCCCTGCTTTAAACGATGGGGAAGCTCGTGAGCGAGCGGGGAGCTCAGGGAACGGGGTCGTCAGGGCAGCAGGGAGACCCACAGGGCCGGGGAGAGGCGAGGAGGAGCAGAACAAAAACCAAAAAGCCCAGTAAAAGTCCTATTCTGATATTTAAAAGTAGACAGGCACCTCTTACGTTTATTCGCGCTTGGTATTCGGCGCTGCCCACCGAGTTCCGCGCGGTGCACCGGTACACGCCGCCGTCCTTGATCTGCGGGCTGGTGACATTCATGTGGCTGACGGTGGTGCCGTCCGACATGGTGTACTGGTTGGTGCGGTGCCCGCTGTCCCGCGGGATGGGCTCGTCGTCCAGCGCCCAGGTGACAGTCGGCGGCGGGGCCCCCTTGGCAGCACACATCAGGGAGAACTGCTCCCCGGGGTTGACCACCTTCTCGCTGAAGGAGGAGACGATGCGGGGGGTCCCAT